TTACTTCTTTCCAAGTGTAGGAATCCGTTTGAAATTATCTTAACATACTACTTCAATTGTATTGCTTCAAGTCACTGTGTTAGTAGCAAAGAGATGTACTCTCTCACCTCTCATTTCTAATCTAATATTTAACACTTTGATAGGAAAGATAATTAATATTACTTTAGCATATATTATATGTCTAGTTGCTTACCAGGACTTAAAAAAATACTTCATGTTATTTAAATCTTAAACAATGCAGTAGTTAAATATTATTATCCTTAATGGATGGCAAATACTCAGATTTAGAAATGTAAAGTAGCTTGCTCAGGTTTTTAAAGTTCATAAGGGTAGAGATTTCTGTTTGTTTTGTTCACAATTGTATCCCCAATGACCAGCCCAGAATAGAGTCTCAATAAATATTTGATGATTGAATGAGTGAAGAAATAATGGTTTATAGCTATACTATAATTGCCATGTGTTCTCGAGGAAAATAATGTATTCTCATGTCCTTTCTCCTTAGTTTAGAAATGAACTTTTCTCCTTCTTTTCCCCTTTACTACTTTGGGCAAGTAGAGTTCTTTGGAATCCAGCAAGTTACATTAATTAATTATATATTTTTTTTGTTAGCATAACTTAGTCCCTTCTATTTTTCTTAAAGCAAGAACAGCAATAGACAAAAGGACATCTGATGACTTTTGTAGAAAGAAAGAGTAGCTAAGTTGGAAAAGCTGAGCACTTGTCTGTAAGATGTGGGACTTTAAGTTCTTCCCCTGTTCTTTTATCAGTTCTGTGATCTTGGTGAAGTAATTTCATCTGTAAAATGGGAGCGTTAGACTAGATTTGCAGTTTTTAAACTGTGTTATTTGGGGACCTTGTGTTCCTTGGTTTGGGACCAGTATAAGGAATGTGGAGGCCAAGTAGGTCTGCTTTTGGGCCCTCCACCCCAACCCTCACTCCCACATCACCACGCACACTTTGTCTCCATTATCATCTGATCTATAAATGCTGGATTTCTTTCAGTAAAGACTATTTTTTTTTGGTAAAAACATTTGAAATAGGAATTCTTCTCTAAAATTCTATGATAAAGAAATTATGGTAACCTATGAACTATTATGTAAGCATTAAAATGCTTCCATTATGTTTAGTAGCATTATACATAGGAGGAGAGAAATATACTAAAACATTAAGTGGCTAAAGCTAAATAATGGGACTATGGGTCATATTAATTGCCTTCTTTGTGTTTTCTGAATTTTTCAATTTTTTTTTCAGCGAATATATCCAATTTTAATTTTATCGTCACAAAAATAAATGAATAAAATAAAAAAGTGAATAAAAAGTTGTGATAAGCTTGGTAAGCCTTTACTTACATGAGATCAAGTTAAGTTACCCAGGGCCACTTAACTGTAATTTCTGCCATTGACTTCCCATTTTGGTTTGCATCAGAGATATTTGCTAATCTCAGTGAGTTGTGGTTTTGAAGAAACGAGATTGCTGAAGACAATACTCAAGAAATGAAACTTTCCTGAGGCCTGACAAACCTTACACATATGGTAGGGATGACATATCTAAGATTTGGTACCATTAGGGGAAATTTAACTAAGATCTTAGAAGAGACTGAAAACAGAGATGATTCTTTATCCGTTTTATTCTTTATAGGGAATTTAAAATATGCACTTAAAATTAATTAAAGTAGCTTATTGAATTAATTAAAGTAGATCTTGTTTAAATTGTGCAAAATTTGAATTCATGGCATTGTTCACAACCTTTACCAATAGAAGATCTTTGATTAGTTATTCCTTTAAAGATATAGAGCTCTCAAAAGTTTGGTTTCAGTTTGTCCATATGTTTTGCAATTAGATCAGATGGGATTGTAACATCTGTTCTATATGATATCCTTGCCAGGGAGACAGCTAAGCTCCGAGGGAAAGGAAACTTATTCAATTGGAAAAGGAACATATTCTGACTAGTCATAGGGAAAATGATAAGGAATACGAATGTTTTCAACCTGTCTGGAGTATGGTAATAATTTTTATTTAGTAAATTTTAGACTTTTTAGATAACTGACGTTGGAAACCTTTGTTTCAGTCTTGCATGCGTCCTAGAAACTGGCATATTACCAGGGATCTTCTTCGATTTTTACCATTTAAGAAAATCTAGTGCTTTTACTTGAAGTGCGTGAGCAAAATAAAGAGGTTAGAAGTGGTGTTGTTAACTGTTACAGGAGAAGATCATGTTCTGTATGACCATTTTAATTTTGGAAATAGTCTTTAAAGGTGAAATTCCTTAAAAAATATTATAGGGAAAGTTTAAATATTGGCTTCTCTAAAGGAAATTGGATGAACTGAGTAGCTTTTAGCTTCTCTTCGGTTCTATCATTTGTAGGGAGGTAATGGTCGTTTGGGGAGGGTTAATGGACAAAATGAGAGATAAGAGTGGATGCTTGATAATCCAATATATTTATCCTATTTTATTGTTTTTTTGAAGCTTGATTAGAGGAAGGCTTTGGGCTTTTTCTTCCATAGATTTCTCATTTGACTTCATTATAATCCTACAGCGTGTTTGATTTATCTGTTCTATATGAACTGCATTAACCATATGGCTCCACCATCTATTGATGTGTGGCTTAATGAATAGTTATAAAGTGTTCCAAAAACACAAAGCAATCTAGCTGTTGGGTATTATTATACTGAATTGTTGGTACATTGCCTGCAAACCTACCCTGTTCAACTGGTTTTAGTTTTTAAGTTAGTTTGTTGCTTCAACTTGTCCATAAAGGCAGAGCCGAATAATTCAGCTAATCAGTGGAATAGCAGAAGAACTAAAGTCCAGTCTTTATTTCCATTTACTTTGTGAGTTCTTGAGCACATTTTTTAAAAAATGGTTCTGTGACTTAGTTTCTCTAACTATAAAATGGAGCCTGTTACTTTCTTCTAGTGTCCCAAGGTTTTTTAGAAGTTACATATGTAAATTATAGTGGGTTTTTCTCAAATACAAAGGCTTTACAGAATTCAAACTGTTTTCTGGTATCCTTTTCTCTTTACATGATTTATATAGCTTAAAATGTAATGCGAACAAGATAGCTTTTGATTAAACACAACAAGGAAGTAAACACATGTGTTTACAGGTGGCTTCTTTATGCAAAAAAATTTTTATGATACTTTGGAGTTAACATATTTGTATAGGTTATAGACAATTATGTTATGGCATTTTCCAAAGGTTTGGGATTCTTCAGTATTGTTTTTCTCATGTACTACCTTGAGAAAATAAAAATAATTCTTAGCTCGTATTAAACTCATAAACTAAGCCGTGCTTTTATAGTTCTTTAATATTATTTTTAATTTATTGCTTTAGAATGGATTCTACTTAATTTTTTTATGATTATAAAAATAATATATATTCATTTTAGAAAATATAATGATGTGTAAAGACAAAAAATGAACCCAGAGATAACTACTAAAGTTAACATTTTAGTGATAACTACAGAATTTTTTTACATCGATTCTTATTCTTATTCTATCTCCCTCCCTACCATTGAGATAATTCTGTTTGGATGTATTGCTTTGAAATTGCTCTTTAGCATGTTTCAAATATTTTAACATTGTGAAATGGGACCTTTTCAAATAAAGTTGAAAGTAGTACTATTATAATTTAAATGATCAAACTCTGCTTACTACATTCAAGTTACTATATTAGATACCTCTTAATAGTTACTGAAAAACACCATACCATAAAGCTTTTTTAATTACTAAGTTTAATATTTTATTACTGTGTACATTGCTCCATTTCTAACAGCAATAAATGAGATCGCTTATTTGTTATGAAAACAGGTGTGGGCTGGATTTGGCACTCTTCTGAAGTCAAGTGTATGACAGATCAAAATGGAAAAAAATTCATCACTTTTATTTGTCATGTCACCAAAAAGAATGTAAATCCATTTTGAATAGAGATCTCAGACTCCATACGATGCTTTTCTTGAGACTTGGTACTCCTCAGCAGAACCAAACCAGTGATTATTTTTCTTGCATCTGTTCCAGCATAAGCATGATTCTTCTTGGGTTCAAGTGGGCCCTGAAAGCCCAAAGCCCAGTGCTCTTGAACCAAGCCAAGCATTTAGTATTTTTGATTCTGTGATGAAAGAAGTCAAGGTGCCCATCTGCCCAGCTCATACATTGCCAAAAAAAGGCCTAGGTGCTGTGCTAAAGAATAGTGTGGCTTATGCCTTCAGGAAACAGATATCTACCTTACACAATGATCCCTATTCTCTGAAATTTATGAAGAAAAGGCTATAACTTGTTTTAAAATTTAATTTTATTATTAGTTTAAAAAGGCTATAACTTTTAAATCAGGGCAATATGAACCATAGCGTTATTGAGAGAGGGCTAAATTATTAATGCATGTAAAACAATTCAGAAGTGCTTAGTAATCAATACATACATTAATAATCAGCACATAGTAGACACTCAGAGTTAGCTATCATTATTAATAGTTTTTATTACCTAGGTCACAGTGTTCGAAAAACAGCAGAGAGAACTTTGTCAATTCTAGATTAATTGACACAGTCTGTAGACTGGCATCACATTGGTAACCAGGAAGATTTGCACATTATCACAGATCAACATTTTCTAATGGGTGGTTTTAAGATGCAGAGTAGGACCAATATGCTTAACCACATCCTATCCTGTCAGAGCAGCCCAGGTCAAACGAAAATTATCCTGTGACATGATGCAGGTACAACAGTACTGGTACTGCTCAGAACTGGACTAAATGGAAACTATTTTCTTTAAAAAATTTTTTTTTAATTTAAGTATGGTTGGTATATAATATTATATTGGTTATATTAGTTTCAGGTGTACAATGTAGTGATTTGAAATTTTTATACCTTACAGTGTGATCACCCCACTTATACTAGTAAACATCTGTCACCATGCAAACTTATCACATTGTTATTGACTATATTCCCCGTCTCCTTTTCATTCATCTCCCAACCCCCTCCCTTCTGGTAACCATCTGTTTAGTGTCAAAAATGATGGTTAGATGTCAGGAAGTAGGTGGCAATGCCTTAACCATCTGCATATTGTCAGGCCTGAGGACCTCTTTCATATTTGTTAAAGGGAGTGCTAAATTTCCCTCCTTTCATACAGCAGTGGAAGCTATTTTCAAAAAGCAAATGTAAAGATAGGACTCCAGGAATCATTGAAACAGCTATTGTCCAATTCTGGCAGATGTATACTCTTCTGGGATCTTTTATAGGTATCAAGCTCTAGCCACGAATGACCCACTAAAGTGAAAATAAGACTGGCCTATAGAAAGACACGACCACTCAATTTTATATTGGTTACACATTGACATTTTTGAAAGCCTGCCAAATACAACATGCACATACACAGTACAAGTCACATAATCTCCCTGGGCTTCTATACCATCATCTGTAACTTGAGTGTAATAGTACTAACCTAATAGGGTTCTTGAGTGTTGACCTAGAATTCAAACCCAGCTCTGTCTGACTTAAAAGTCTGTGTTCTTTTTTTCTTTTGACTAAATTGTGTTGCATTGCCAAAGCAGATGGGAGTAGCAGAAAATGAAATAAAGCAGTCAGTGGTTACAGAGCACATTTTGGGTTGTTTTTATCGCCTTCCCTAGCCGCCCCCCAGCAAGCCCATACATCGTTCTTCTCAGCACTTGTTCTAAATTACACAGTGACTCAGGTTTGATTTCAGTAGCTACTGTGAAAATGAAAATTAGATCAAAGAGTGTTTCTCAGAGGTGGATATGGAGGTGGGGAGAGGAGATAATGGAAATTAAATGAGAGTAAACAGGTAGACAACCATGATAAATGTACAGCAGACCTGAACAGTAACTGGGAGGTTGTCAACCCAGTGCTAACAGAGACAGTGTAATGCTTATTAGCTTTTGGCAACACATACCACACACTGCAAAATAGTAGTATTGATTGTTCTTGCCTTGGCAATAAAACCTTTTATCTTTAATTTAATATGGACTCTAGATCAAGATGCTGATGTAAAACAATATGTTGTAAAAAATAGCAGGTGATATTTAATTTTATAAAAGTCATAGAAGAATCTCAGACGTGCAGATGTAATTCATAGTTCTGCCAGTCACCTGAGGATGCATTCCCCCTCTCCCAGATCAGATGAAGGAAAAACTGTTATTTTCAGTATAGACCCAGCTAGTTCTGATCTGTTTGCAAAATGTATTGACAGATGGTATACACAGTTTTGGAGGACTTGTATTTATTAAAAAGAATTACATAGCTTGAGTTTATATGGCATCAGGACTCAACAATAACAACAATAACAAGTGTACAAGCACAGTGGTCAGGACGAACTATGCAACTATAGCTGTGGAGAATACATATACAGTGCAAAACCTAGTCATAGACTCCTAGTTAAGAATTTAATGTGATAATGATACATCAGTATAATTCTTCTATTTAATCACATAAGTGATTCCAGCCCATAATGCTTAAGTTTCTTAATATGACTTAAAATGTCTCTACAATCTGTCTCTGTAGTTATTTCCTACCACCCTTCTCCTTATGCTCTAAACGTCGGCAGAATCAAATTGCTTATATTTCCTCGCAAATACCATGCTTATTATTATTAATAAAGCAATCATCTGTGTCAGATGATTGATAAGAGCTTTAAATGAATTATCATGACCTTGCTTAATTCTCAAAGAACCTAATAAGAAATATGTATTATTATCCCCACTTTATTAAGCAGAAATTGAGGTTTGAGAATTTAAATACACTAAGCAAGAAATCATTGCTAGTAAAATATAGAACCTTGATTCAAATTCAGATCTGTCTAGCTTCAGAGCCTCCTCTCTTAATCACTAAGCTAACTGGCCTCTGATTACTTTGCTTATGCTGTTCCCTCTGCTTGGAATGCCCTTCTCTTCAGTTTTAATAAGGGCCTTAATTGTAAGCAACAGAAAACAATGCTTGCTGATTTAATCAGAAACAGAATTTATTAAAAGGATATTGAAGAGTTCACAGAATCTCCAGGGGAACCAAATTCAGGACATGAGCTAGAAATAATGCCCAGTTGTGTCACAGAGAGGTCCACTGAATATGCCACTGACACTACCACTGAACATTAGTGGCTGTAGTTTGCACCACCAACACTGCAGACGGGTACTGGATGCAATAGCAAGTACTGCTGCCATTTATCACGTGGCAGCCACCTTCCCCTCTGCCACCAGAGCCTCATGCTCATTGCTTTGAATCATTAGTTTCTCATTCTAAACCAGATGAAGGTGAATGTGATTGTGAGAGCCTCAATTTCTTGCCCATGTCCTGGATATAAGGGGAATGGGAAAAAAATAATCTGGTACTATGAACCTTTGTGGTGTGATAGCAAGGCTTAAAAGATTGAGAATTCCATCAAATAGGAATTCTGAAATAGTAGGAAATTAGACTATGACGCCAGGTTACCAAAAATAATAACAGATGTCTACCACATCCCTTTCTTTCATCTGACAAATGTATTTGTCCTTGAAAAACATCCATGCAGCCTCCTTTACTGTTGTACCTTGCATAGTCTAATTTTATATTTTTTAATTACTTGATTTTTAAGGATTCTTGTTTTAAGTATCATTTGTTTATGTTAACTGACTCTTCTATACCTTGTTATCAAGTAGTTTATTGGCTATGGCTTATTGATGTTTGTACTCTTTAACATCTACCTTGGACAGTGTTCAGCGCATACATAGTAAGTACTTGATAAATAGTTGAACTGAATGGAGGCATAAATCCTCCCCACCTACCACCACTAGAATGCAAGTTCCATAAGGGCAGGGACTTTTTTCTTTGTCTGTCTGCTTCTCTTTTTGTTAATTACTGTACCCCCAGCACCCAGATTAATTCCTAGCATGTGGTAGGACCTCAGTAAATATTTACTGACTAAATGGATTCTCCTAAATAGTAAATTAATTATCTCTGAGAATGACACAGGCAGAAAGTTCTTGGATTGTGAATGGCTGAATTCACAGTATTATTTGAGACTTTCCAACTAGATCGCATACAATATGAGGCCAGAAACTGCCTTGTTTATCTCTGGTTACCTCTTCCTTCTATCCAGAAGCATAATCAGAAAAGGGCAATTCGGAATTCTTTCCCAGACTTACCACTATAGTCACTAGCCGCAAAAATGGCCTCAAGTACCATATCTGCTTGACATAAAACCTTTTTGTGTTTCCTTTTGTATAACTAGCTATATCCTGAGATTGCATCTATCCTGGGAAGAAAAGGCTGTTGGGCAAACTGTCCTGTATCCTGTTTTAAAATATAATAACCTAGGGCAGTAGCATTTCACTTTGAAGAAATGAGGAAATGAAGGCCCATAATGGTGAAATTATTCTTACAAAGGCCATGGAATAGCAGAGACGTACCGAGATCAGAATGCTATAGCTTTTAGAGGTTAGCTCTTGGGAGAGAACAGAAGCACAACTATGTCAAGCTGAAAGAGAACTTTTGTTCAAGCTCATTAAAAAAGTATTATTATTAGTGATAACTATCATCTCTGGAGCTAGCCTGCCTAGATTTGAATCATTTTCTCTTCCACTGACTAGCTGTGTGACCTGGGGCTGTGCCTCAGTTTTCTCAGCTGTAAAATGAGCATAATAATAGCATCTACCTCACAGGATTATTATGAGGATTAAACGATAACATATACGAAGTATTTAAAATGCCTGGCATAAGTAGGCCTTCTAAATATTAGCCGTTCTTGGTATTACTCTATTCTGAATATTTACTTTCACTACTTCTACTCTTTTTGATTCTTTACTATCTCTCGTCCTTTCAATTCTGAATTTGTGGTGTTACCCTGTTTTACAGAAAACCCAAGTCTGAAATCAAGTTAAATTGTTTGTCCAACACTTACATAGCTGCGAAGTACTAGTTAGTTGGGACTCAAACCCAAATCTGTCTTATTTTTGAAGCTCTTTCTATCATGGCAAATTAACATGTGAAAGTAGATTGAGTTTAATGTGCTCTATTATATCCTTCTAACCACTGTTGTTCATTTGAATAAATCTTTTTCCCTTGCCACTTTCACTCTCTTTTCTGATTTGTAGTCATTGTTTTTCTGTCTATACCCTAAATCTGTTTACCACCCTTGTTGGTTTTCCTCTTAGTCTTTGGATTTGTAGTAGAAAGTATGCACTTTACCTGAAAGGCCAAAGCATATCATCCTTACATACTACTATTTTAATTTCACATTCATTTTTTTGTTAGACTAATTGATCTGTATTGTGAATTGGTTTCAGGAAGAGAAGACTTAGATATCTATTACGAGTCAGATAAATAATTTTTATACATTTTAGCTAGGATGGCATTTAAGGACAAATTGTATAATTCCAAAACTTAGGTCCATTTCAGTTAGTATAAAAGGTGACCCACAAATTTGTCAGAAATAGAGACAATATCAAATACTATTGAGTTGCTACAAGAACTTTGCAACTTAGTAAAGTACTTTTGTGTGTGTTACTACAAGAACTTTGAGTTGCTACAAGAACTTTGCAACTTAGTAAAGTACTTTCGTGTGTGTTACTCATTATGTAACTTGTGCATAAAACTTCTATTGAGAAATTCCAAATGGACTCCAGACATTTGTTCCAAAAAAAAAAAAAAAAGGTTAAACTTACTGTTTTAGAGAATTATTATTTCTCTTAACATATGATCTTTCTTGTTAACAACAGGCCCTTTAATAGTTTATCAGAAAATGAGGATTTCTCTTTCAATATTTCATTTAGTGGATAATCTCATATGATAGATCACTCATTTAGAAATACACACACTTAAAATCAGTGATTAAATAGTCTTGAGGGACTAAAGCCACAAGTGTCAGGAAGCTATTACTTTGTATTTCCTTATTGCTTAACCAATCTTTTTTTTTCTTCTTCTTCTTTTTTTTAACCAGACAAGATTTCAGATCCTCTTTTCACCTGTTATTTTTCTGTCTTGCCATGTTTAAACTGGCTTTCAACTATGTTTTACTAAGATGGTTCAGTTTTACTAAGACTTTGCATTTATTTTTATTTAAGTAATAGGGAAAAGAGTATGCTTTTGTCAATATGTTTACATTGGGCTTTCCATGTTAAAGTGAGTTTCCTCTATTTATTG